AACTTAACCACTGATTTGTAGTTGTGTCCTCTTTTAGAAAACCAAACAAAGTAGTTTCGCTTTCACAACGAAACACAGCGTCACACACGGCAGGCTAGAGTGAGCGGAGGCCGGTGGCCGGCGGCCTAGAGTAAGCGGAGGCCGGCTTGAGTGAGCGGCAGTGGGCGGGCTTGCGGCAACCACATGTGACGACCCCGGGCTGGACTCTGCTTTGTCCAGAGTGGCTCACTCTGCGGTGATCCACATCGCGCAGTTGACGTATTTCCTCAGCGACCAGCACGGATCAGCTCCAGGCATGACGAAGCGGATATCGTCCTCTTTTGGAAGGCCAAACAAAGTAGTTTCGCTTTCACAATGAAGCACACAGCGCCTTCACGACATGGTGGCGGCAACAATACTACAGTGAGACCGATCCGGCAATCCACAGCGCGAAGTTGATGTATTTCCTCAGCGACCAGCACAGATCAGCTCCAGGCATGACGAAGCGGATATCTCCCTCTTTTGGAAGGCCAAACAAAGTAGTTTAGCTTTCACACCGAAACACACAGCGCCTTCACGACATGGTGGCAGCGGCAACAACAATACTACAGCGAGAATAAAAGTTACGCCTTCTTTCTTTGCCTGAGCATTTGGGCGGCGTTATGCAAATCTTCCCACATCGTGACGTAGACGTGAGGGCGTGTTAGAACGAGACGTTTTAGGTAGGTGTGGTTGACTCTTAACTGTTATAAAGAATATCTCTTTGGATTTGAGACTTTAGTCTTTGCAACTTTACAGATCTTCTTTATGCACCAAGAGCTTGTAACACTCCAAAGAGAAAGGAAAAATTTAAATCGCATCATATGACCCCTTTAATATTTTGCATACTTAAAAAATGTTTTCTATGTATTTTTTATTATTTATTTGTTCAAGGTTTATATATTACATCAGCACACCAGTAGGTGGCAACAAGTGAGCCATTCACTCAACTGAATTCATTTGGTCATAACATTGATTCATTCAGGAGTGCCACTTTTATTTTATTCTAATTTATCAGTTTTATAAAAAATATTATTACTATGTTGTTGTTGTTGTTCTTGTTTACACTTTTTATTATTCTGGTTTATATTTAGAATATTTTTACATTTATATTTAGACAATATTTTGATCATATATACCAGCAGAAAATTGCTAATTGTTTTATTTGTGAAAACAGGGATGGAATTCTTGTTACTTAAAATATTTTATTATTGATGGAATCATAATTACAATTTCCAATTTCCTAAATGTCCTCATTTTTGAACACAAATTGGTGAATAAAATATTCAGAGTAACAGGATATTTTTATTTCATTTTGTTTAAGACTGTTCTATTTGACCTAGCGTTAAGTGGAAGAAATTCTGAAGAGCGTGTTTAAGAGCTTGTTGAAGTTGATTCAGTGATGCTCTCAGACTACAAATGCCTCAACAAAGTCAACAGAATTTTTATTATTCCACTCATGCTTCCATTTCAGAAGCAAATGTTTTGAAATGAAAAAGAATATACTAACAAATATTAAGGTCATGTTCCTTCACGCATTACAAGATTTTGAGAATTATGCCTTTAGTATTGTCCCATTCTTACAATTTTTTTTTAAAAAAGAGACCCAAGAGGGGGCATTAACCAATTCATCAGTAAATAAATTATAATTTAGGACAATTCACAGAGCTTTCTGGCATAGACTTTTGGCCAACAGTCAACAAGTATTTAGCCTACACTGTCCAGTTTGTGATTTCCAGAGGAAAGCTCCTACAGGATGCCTCTAAATAATGCCTCCTATCTGTCTTCCCCAGCAAAACATAAAAGGGTATAATAGCTCGCTTTTGCCTCAGTGGCATAGTTGTCTTTGTACCAACTCTAAGTACACTTCTGGGGAGATTTGAGAATTCCCTGCAACATAGTGCCTCTCTATAAACTGCTCACCAGCGCTGTGTCATACATGCTTGTATCCTACTAAGAGATTTGCTGCAGTCCTTATTAGCTGTTACGAACAGGAGATGAGGAGACCAGCACTCAGGTTCATCTCGCTGGTGAATTATTGATAGGTCTTCGTTCGTTCAGGCTGGATGGTGGGTGCTGGTGTGCTTGTCCAAGAATAGATGCTCTCTGAGTATGTTGAAGACCACAGACTGCACCACCAACCTTAGGAATATCATCTGTTTGAACCCATCAATGTCAGAATGAATCTGTCAGGTTTGCTTACTCTGCTGAAGATATTAGCTTAGGAATTTTCATGCTAGCTTATACCGGTTAATGCTACTGCTGGTGGATCAGCGTAGCCAAATTTTGCTGGTTAAACAAGTTAAAAAGCCTGCTGGAGACATCAGAATACCCTGATGATGGAAAGATGAAGCTCAGATGTTGCTTAAGGAAACTTAAAGGAGTTTTAAATTTAGATATCAACTTTTACTTGAATGTTGCTTCTAACATTTTCTTAGCCGAAACAAAAATGGACACATATGCTGAATATTTGATCAACAGAAATGTTTGCATTTGTATTAAGATCTCTGTCTATTGTTTGCTGGTATCTTGGCAAACCTGAGCAGTTTGAAATATTTTTGAGAACTCGTCAGCAATTTTATCGGAACCATGTGAGATAAAAGAAGATAAAAGTGAGTCAGGGCATAACAGTTAGGTGATAAAATGATCTCAGGATAAAAACCTGAGAAATCAGTGACTTTCTGCTGGAATTGCTGTCTAAGAAAAACAATTGAGATATTGTGGTTTTTCATTGCTGGTGGCCTCACTTTGTTTTCTGACACCAGTATTTGAAATCCACACTCATCCTCCATATGTCAAAGTACTTTTCTCTGTAAGAATTGTCTGAACGTGTAAAGAGACAGGGAGAGAAGCGTTATAAAGAGATGGGCAAACAAATGTATCTCATAACTCATAAAACATCACCAACAGCTGCAAACGCAGGAGAGCTGCACAAAAGCAGGTCATTCCTTGATCTAGATAAGACAATGTGCTGGCCTATTTGTTGGTAGTCTCTGGAGGTAGGGTGCATAACGGAGGAGCCAGGGAGAAAGGGAAGAAGGGAAAAACGTCACCGCTATCATTGATAAACTGTATTTAACCTGCTTTGTTGTGACCTGCAATTGTTGTGTTCGTGATGTTCTGGTTTACTTTTTGTCTGTGATTATATATGTGCTACCATTCAAAAGTTTAGGGTTAGTTAAAAATGAATACTCTATTCAGCAAGTGTGCATTGATCAAAAGACAATTATTTTCAACGCTGATGAGAAATGTTTCTTGAGCAGCAAATCAGCATATTAAAATGATTTCTGAAGGATCATGTGACACTGAGCCGGAGTAATGATGCTGAAAATACAGCTTTGCCATTGCAGAAATAAATTTGATTTTAAAATATACTAAAATGAGAATTTTCAATATTTGTCAATATTTCACAATATTACTGTTTTTACTGTATTTTTATATTAAAAAAATAATAATAATAATAAGGCTTGGTTAGCGTAAGAAACTTTATTCAATATCATTCAAACTTTCTTACCAACCAAACTTTTAACAGAAATGTTCCACTAAGGTAAAAGATGTGTGACAGATGCTGAAGGCTTTCCACTAGATGTTGGAACATGGCTGCAGGGATTTTCTCGGCACTGAGGTCAGAAACTGATGTTCCAATTCATCCCAAAGGTATTCAGTGAAGTTCATGTCTGGGCTTTGTGCAGGCTAGTCAAGTTCTTCACACTCGGTAAACACATTTTACTAGTGCCATCCTATAACAGTGCCATGTGAAAAATCACTGAGCTGTTCGGTACACTCTATTCTACTGAAAATGCTTGTGTAAGAACATCGCAAGGGTGTATGCTTGATTTTATCTGCATGTTAGTGAAGCTCAAATAATATGTGATTGTCCATTTTGTGCTTGTGTGCAGGAAGCATCATATTTGACCATTGTATGTTTTACCCATTTTTTTCTTTTCTCTATTTTACAATGTTTTTACCAATTATTATGACATTTGCCACACTTCAACAGTGTTAATTAGAAATATATTATTTATTGGGGTCCCCCCAGAGTCATTAATGAAATCCACAGTTTGTGGAAATTGATTATTTATATTCAATGTTTAGTCCACACCAATTAAACATCTCTTCCCCCAAGCTATCACAGCTTTTCAAAATAGTACCATCTTATAATATGGCACCATGTTTTTATTTTCCTCCATCATTTTATTTTTTTATGCACACTCATAACATTATCTTGTATAATTTGCTTATAGCTCACTCCTTCTTGAGTATCGTGGATAGAATAATTAGAATGTCATCATGAATTAATGAAGCCCTCCCTATTTTTCTCCTTCATCCTCAAGGTCTCCACGTCATGCGTTTTATCTTTGACGATGTGTTTTTAAGACCCTTTTTGTGTGCATATGCACTACATGGTTTAAAGGCCGTTACTGTGCAAAGATCATTTCGTATTTGAATTTTTGAACTGATTTTTTCATTGACCTACATAAAAACAGGTGTTAAAATTTACATCGGTTTGATTTTGGTTCAAGGATCAGTATTTGAATATCATTTTAAATGGCTTATGGAAAATATCCCAGCAGTGTTAGACTTGTCCAAATACTTCTTCCAACAATTTTCTTTCTTTGTGGGCATTTCAGTGCCACTCTTATTCCTCTTAATACATGTTGACAGCAGTTTGTTGAAGGTGGGGATTTGAGATCTGACAAGACAAAGGAGTCTTAGCAATGTGCAAAGGCTGAAAAACCTTCAAAACTGTCCCAAAATTGCACTCTTTTCCTCTGAAACGGTCTCTGTAAGAACATCTAGATCGACTTGCATCACACACTTAAAATCTCTCCAGAAGTCTCAAGTCTTAAATATCTTCAAAACCTGTCGTCTTACTTTTATCCTGTCAAAAAATAAATTGCTTTTGTTGATTGTTGGTTTGAAGTCGCAGAAGCACTCTGAAGTAATATTATCATGTGTGTGTGTGTCTGTTTGCATTGCAGAATTGCTATATTGGAGATTGGAAGCCTTCGGATATCCAACGTCACCAAATCGGACGCTGGCACGTACACGTGTGTTGCCCGTAACCAGTTTGGCGAGGCCAGCAGCTCAGGGAATATGCTTGTTAAAGGTATTTGCTTCTTATTTTGGATGCGATTAATCGCGATTAATCATTTGACAGCACTAATTCAAACACATTCTGAAGTTAAGTACATTAGCTGCAGTTTTTAAGTCGAAAAGACAAACTTAAATCTTGGCTGGACATCCTTCAGTTTCAGATGTAATTCAAATTCTAATTCAACTTTCCATGGGGTTTTGCCAAATAATTTCCAACTTATTGGAAGAGACTAATTCTTCAGTTCTGAATTTTGCGCAACCCTGAAGATGGGAGTGTCTGGGCATTGCAGAAGGTTGTAAACCCACTGAAATAAATCACATATGTGATTAATTGTATCCTTATGCTTTAAGGGAAGGAATTAATTAAGGATGTTTTGAGCAGTCCGGACTCTCCTTTTTGATTTAATTCTGTTTTTCAATTGGATGGGATGCCAGCAGTACGTGAACCACCAACTGTTATTTGCTCAGAAAGTTGGCAAAAAATCATAATGAAGGTGAAGCAGACAGCACAACGACAAATTTAGCTTTAGTTACAGTATTTGGCGAAGGTCCAAATAAATGAGGAGAAGGGCTGTGAAAAAATAATATACCAAAATCACAGATACAGTGGGGAAAAAAAGTATTTAGTCAGCCGTATGTCTATGTGGTCAGGATTAGATTTTTCAGAGGTCGCCCAAGGTGGCTGAAGAACAGCGGCTAATTTGCTCTGTAATTTTTACTGAGGGATGAAATCAAAAGTGCAACTGTGAAACACGATTTTACCTAAACTCCTCAGGGAAAATTCCTTTTGTCCTAATAGTGCTTTTTCTTCATATGATAGTTCATTTATTTAAGATAAGTAGTAGGGCTGTGCGATATTGAAGAAAAATGCTATATGCGATAGCGCATAATGCGATATTCGATATGCGATACGATAATGCTTAAAGTGCCACATGCTCAGATGAAATGGTTTTACTCAGCTGTTATCATATATATATACAGTATATATATGGTTATTTGTATGTATGTATGTACCAAGAGTTCCTATAAAACCACAGCAAATTCCTTGTGTTTGCGCACACTTAAGTGGTGAATAAAGCTAATTCAGATTCTAATAAGAAAGCACTCCTACAACAACTTCTGAGAGTGAACGGTAGTGTTTTACTCGAGCGTTACCTTCTGACCAAATCTTAGATTGTCTGATTCGGTCTGATATCCTACAGCAGTGAGTGATTTTCTCTGTGTTTTATTCATGGCCCCAAATATTGCAAGCTGTAGCGATATGCGTATTGCAATATGTACATTTGCGATATTTCGATAATTTCGGTATATTGCACAGCCCTAATAAGTAGCATTCTGGCCACCACCCTGTATCATTTTATCTTTACAGATCATACACAAAAATAATTAGACTCCTTACTGATGCACAACCCAGCTTTTTCATGCACATCTATCAGAAGCACTTAGTAAAAGAGTTTTCCAACCATTTTAAAGTCCTTAACCAACATTCAGGAGGTTCATTTTAATGTGATCCTGCAGAAAGCAAAGTTACGGGTCTATAAAAACCTCTGCATTTAAAGTTATTTTAAAAGTGAACAATTTCTCAAACCGCAGGGTTTCTTGTGCCTTAAGTGTGACGTTTTAGTCTACTTTATTAACCTTTGTCAACCATTAATCAACCCTAAATCATTGCATGTCAAGAGGAGATCCATCAAAAACTCAATAAATATTGAATCCCCTTAATTTTATATTCGTATATATTATGTTATCAAGATATTGACATGACGCAGGGCAACATGGTGTGAGTAAATGTCATTTATAGATAGATGGACTGGGTCAAAGGACCTTAAACACGATTGATAGATAGATTAATTGATGCTGGGCGCTTTTCACTTGCCAAACATGTCAACTGAAGTGATACGCCACTGGCAGCTGTATGTCAGCCAGCCTCCATTTTATCTCCATCAGTGTGTCAGATGGGTGTACACATGCTGCATCAGCAAAGATAATTATACCATACGGTCAAAGCTACTGGTGACAACTTTTGAGGGAAGCAGAAACCTTGTGTTCTGCAAAAACACAATCTCATTAGTATTTGTATTTGTTTGTACACATATAAATGTAATCTAATTGGTACTGTATGGATAGCTTCTAAAATGTTTATTATTATATGTGAACTTTATAGACAATTTAATTCATTTTAAGCTTGTTCACCTGATTGGACCTGCTTTATTCTTCTCTGTAAAAATAAATTGGAAAATGTATTTAAATTAATAAATGGAAATGTATGTAGAGTAAAACATATGTGTATGTATATACAGTATATATATATATTTTTTTTTTTTTTTTTTTCAGTAATTCCAGGTTTTTTACAAAGGGTTTACATTTTACATACATTGTTGTTGTATGAATCTGGCCAAAAAAAAAAAAAAGCATGTGTACGTTTGAACTAGGGACCTGCGCGGGACGGATTTTTCAGTCCCGCTCCCGCCCGTTCCCGCAAGATTCTGTCCCGCGCCCGCCCGCTCCCGCAAAAATATATCTTATCTGGTCCCGCTCCCGCCCACGACATTCATGTTTTGTCCCGCTCCCGCCCGCAAAAGCCCGCATAAAAGTAATCTATATAGATTGTTTTAAGTACATTGAAGAAATTTACATGAAATGGTTCTGTAACATCTCCTAAGCTCCACAACATCCCAGCATAAACATAACAAACTACTACCGATAAAATATTAGTTATTTAGACTAAGCATCAACATTCACAACCACTGTTGTTTTTTACGGAAAGCAAGCATGGGCTGCTGCGTGCATGATTTGGCATGGCAGATTGCGAGCAGCACACTTCCTTTATTATCTAAAAAGCTGACATCTCAGTTAATCGCGATCTCATAAAGCTCTGTTATAACACTAAATATACTAAATATATGCACAATGAATCTTTCAGTGTCTAAAATGAGAGGATTCGTGAGCACGCAATTTCAGCACTGTGGTGAGTAGATTCTAACTTGATCACCTCTGATTGGCCATTGCGTTCCAGAAATCAACAGCTGAGTCTGTGATTGGCTACATTATAAATGGAAACTAGGCTGTGTCTAGCTTGCGCGTTAATCATTTTAATGTTAATATTAGTTGTTCTTTTTGCTTTAGTGCAACAGATAAATAACAATTTATATGTTTTAGACACTTTATGTTTAGATAATTTCTATTTTGCGGGAGTCCCGCGAATAATTTTATTCTCCCGCATCCCGCACACACACGAGTCTCTTCCCGCCCACACCCGCACTCGCCCATCAAGAGTTGTCCCGCGCCGCACCCTGTTGCGTTGGGTCCCGCGGTGCTCCCCGTAGTCCACAATCCACGTGTTTGTTCTTGTTCTAAGTTTAATGTAGTTTTCTCCCTCCAAAAACCAGTCCGACATAAAAACAAACCTGTTGTTACTGAGCTCGCTGTCATGTTTACTTAAAGGTTCAATCCATTTTTGTTTCTGTCCGCACACGTTAGTCTTCTCTAAGGCCTTCAGACACCAGCTCAACAGCTCTCTAATAAAGCTCCTTGAAGGTAGCTCTCCTTTTAGTGGTTGCTATAGTGACCGCTTTGATTGTTTCATTTGCCCTTTTTTAAGATGCAAATGTCTTTTGTATGAGTCATATCATAATTCATTAACGCTGCTGATTCCTCTATATTTAGCGTTGATCCATAAGGCTGCCTGGTGTAAATGTTTTCCATAGGGGAAAACGGTGAACACATTTTGTGTTGTAACACAACATCTGTGTCTCGGTATTTGATGTAATATATTCCCTAATGTAATAGGAATGTTATAAATTTGTTTGAGTGAAAATGTGAAAAATCTGATAATTTTACCTAAATTGGTGTCACTTATGATGCATTCATTAATTAGTAATATAGTGTAATTATATATTGCTTATTGTAATATTTAAAAAATATACAGTATGTTTATATTTGTATATATTTATAAACATTTTTATCATTTGCAGTACACATTTATACCACTTTATAATTTTTATTGTTTTTATACTTTTTACATTTACCACGTGAGCTGTTACTAATATATACTGTATATATATATATATATATATATATATACTGTATGTGTGTGTGTGTGTGTGTGTGTGTGTGTGTGTGTGTGTGTGTGTGTGTGTGTGTGTGTGTGTGTGTATGCATGTATATGCATTTACTATAATAAATTTGTTTATAGCCCCTGAATATTATATTTTTAAATAAACAAAATGGTATATTATGAACAATTTATTTTTATTATTTACAGTAGTCATTTATATCAGACATTTTTTAACATGTAGATGAAAACCTTGCATGTTATACAGTATATGAAATCCATTAACATAATCACAAATCCAATTATAGTTTATAGTAAGCTCAAAATTGTTTTTGTGCTGTAAATCCTTTATATTTTAACACATCTCAGGAGGGTGGTGGGTATGTATTACCCCTGTAGCTCATTTTTAATTAGTTAAACTGTCAGTAGTATAACGCTCCCTGGTACCAAAATGCCTATTTAGTCAATCATAAATCAGATATTTGTTAATGCAAACAAATCGTTTGTTTTCTCTGCCAGTTACTTGTAAAATCTTAATTCGTCTGTGTTCCCAAAGACTGGTTAATAATTAAAAAATGAATTACTTGCATTATAGATGATATACGGTTGCGGTCAGACTAGCTTAAACAGAGAGAGAGATGGATGAGTATCTTATAAGTCTTTTATGTTGAGTCTCTGCTCCATGCTTTCATCGAAAGACCCTCTTTTTTTCTCACTAGCGCAAGCGAGTGTTGTACAGTCACGCAATTTTTCACTTTCTAACACTGACATATTTAATTAATCAAAAGTGAAATTCTTTAATCTGGAGATATTTAATTTAAGAATGAAACTCCACAGATAATTTCCCATCGTGAAGGTTGAAAAGCTGGCTCGCAATTATTATTATCCATCTCTAAAAACAGAATTATCTCTTGAAAGGATGTTTTATTTCTCATTTGTGGGACTTGGATTTCACACTC